ACTGCAGCCACAGAGGACGCCACTTATTTTACATAGCGGTCCCAAGACCCCAATAACAATTTAGGATTGACGTCAGAATACATTTTTAAAGAACACTGGAATATTCAAGCAGTAGTTGCATACTGTGGATATTACCTGTCACCATGGTAACGGATTTTATGATAAATGAGTCTTTCACTGGTTGCCGGGCTTATCATCACTCTGCAAAAAAAACATTACAGCTGTCATACATTCTACTCCCATTTTGTTGACAGGTTGATTTATTATGACAACCAGGTTGGTTTTATATTGGCTCTTTGTTGGAGTGAACTCCAAGGTTGATTGTTAATCTATGCTGAATTCAAACAGGATCTGATTAAATACATACATAATTTATGTGGTAATGAATCTTATGTTATGGTAATATCGTTTTTACATTCTAGCATATAGTTTAATAGTAGCTGATAATCCATTAACCTTTTCAACAGCAGACTTTCTTGCCCAAATTTGTCAGCACTTTTTTTTATATTTCTGGAAATGAACCCTAATTTTGGAGCCAACAGTCAATTTCCAGTTTTTACTCAAAAAATTAGGCTATTTTTGTCTCAATCTTCTGAAGGAAAGTGCTGACTATAAACAGGACTATTTTGTGAATTTGTAATGAAAAAAGGGAACTTGATGTGAAATGTTGCATTCTCACTTTATAGCATACCTCCTTCTGATTATTGCACTTACTGTGAAGATGCTAGAATTCAGTTTGGCAACAAATCCTGTAATAATGGATCTCTGTCACAACATAACATAATTATCATTGTAATAACTCAATTAAGTCTTTTTTATTTTAGAAAACCTTCAAATTCCATTTCTAGATTTTGTTGATTAAGATTTCTCATGTACTGTGCTCACCTGGGTCATTGAGAGCTTTTCTCTAGATCATACAATATTTTGTATTGTGTTTGTATTTAATGCAACTTTAACAAGTTTTAGAATAAAGATCAGATATAATAACTTAGCTTTGCCAACTTAAAATTTCTCAATCTGTGGGTTGCCAATTTTTCCTGCCAAATTGTTGCAGATTTTAAGTTATTTTCCTGTAATTAACATTACGTTTAACGTAATTCAAAAGAATCATCAGTATTCAATCATTAGAGTGCCATATAGACAGTATAGTGTGTTTCTGTAAAGAGCGATATCTACGAAAATCGCATGAACAGCGCCCTCTTTCAGTTACTGTAGTAAATATTTCACATAAGAATTTAGAGCTTTTTTTTCTGTTTTTAACTGGCTTTATGTATGATGTACTTAAATTTAAATGGATTCCCTGCTACAATTACAGATTCAAAAAAAATTAATGCATCTTAATATATTTCTTTCAGTTTTACTTTTATATATACGACCTTTGCTGTTCATCCTTCATAAGTATCACGTCATGCATTACGCTTATTCCATACATTATCAACAAGGTTATTCACCTGCTTCTATTGAGGTTGTTCACCTAAATGATAATTAAATTCAGAAATTTGCCCTGATACCTGTCACAGAATATAATTGTACATCTCTTAATGACCAAACAGATTTTTATTACCTCAATATTACAGAATAGCTAAATTACGGAGGAAGTAATAGTTCTTTAATTTGACCTTTGAAGTATACTTTTCCTTAATTGACTCCTGTGTTGATTTTCAGTTCATCCACTGATATATCAAGTACATGTACAAATCATCACATTTTAATGAAACTTGGTACATAGATTCTCTAGCATATACTAATCATCACATCTCAATAACATTTGGTACATAAATGCTTTAAGACAATAGATAGACCTGATTAATTTGGGGTTAAAATATGTACATATTAATTACCTAATTTGCATAATTAAATAAATTTTAAGCTTTCACACTAATATCTACAGTACTAATTATTCAATTTCAATGAAACTTGGTACATAGATGCTCTAGGTCAATGTGCAAACCTGATTAGTTTTGGGTTAAAATCTATTATTTCCATAATTAGCATAATAATTTATAATCTAACCCTAACTCTACCCTTCAGCACTCCCGATTTAATTGTACATGCCCTCCTAAGGACATCTATAGTTATCTAGAAGGGGCATATACAAATGAATTGGGTAACTGGGAGTGAGTGTTAGGGATGGGGGGGGGGTTACAAAAGGAACTCTTGCCATGAAAATTAATGGATGTGCCTCAGTATGTTACAGTACCCATACTCTATTGAACAGAATTAGCCAGCGTAACCTGGAGATAGTTCTCTACATATATAAAATGTTGGCTTATAGGCTGTTTTCTAGTAAAATATGGACATAAGTCAGCCATTTTGTATCTGAAAAGAAAAACAAATTGGGGCATATTGATACTATCATGTATCAACCATGTACCAAGTTTTGGGGAAATCAGTCCATGAACTTCAGAGAAAATGCAACGGAAAGAACAGACAGATGGACAGAACCTAATCCATAAGTTTCCAGACTGTGTCCAGTCAGGGGCAAAACACTAGATAGCTGCATATGTTATTGCTCATTCATTTATTACATTACCATGTACAGGATATATTTTTGAAACATTTAAATATTGGTTTACTGATACAATTGACAATATACAACAGTTAATTCATATCTAACAATATAGCAAAATATTAAATAGTATTATTATTCAAAGTTCCACAAGCATGCAAGTTGAAACATATAGCTGATACACATACGATAAGTTTTGAAATGTTCACTCATCTACCCGATGTAAAGCTACTATAGGTCTGGATTACAATTTTCGAAATAATCACATATTTTGACCATAGACAGACCACTATCATTTAGGTATTGAATGCGATTCTAATAAAGTCATATAAACAGGAAAGCAACAATTTATTTTCAACTAAAGAATGTTTGAGGTTTTTGAATTAAACAATGACTTAAGTTACCAGTAATGCCAGAGTTCTAGTGTGATGATTCCCACTAGTCGAAGTATCATATAATCTCTTGAATTGGCGTCACTTTAATTTAGGCATCAGGGAAGAGTGAAAGGCCATCATTTGGTTCTAAAATAGGCATCAAAAAAACTGTTCCATGATAACAAAAAAGCTAGTCAAAATCTTGAATACCCCCGGTATTACCAATCGTTTGCAGCAGTTTTAAAATACTTTATTATGCCAATTCAACCTGTCAGTATTTATAGCAGACCAAGATAATTCATAATTAATTACATTTTTAACAGTTAATATTATATAAAATATTGTATATGTTACCTGTAGTACCGGTATATTCTTACAGGACGCATTGTGAAGTGCAACTGTGATGATGTCACTGACACCTGTCATTCAAAACAGTTTGTAAAGGTTCACTCCAGAGAGATACTTCCTTGTACAATTAACAGTTGACAGGTCTTTTTGAAAAACTTAATTAGATTTCTATTGAAATATGTAATATGAATAAGGAAATACATAATTTGACAATTCATATTGAAAATATGGTAATCTAATAAACTTTAACAAAAATATGCAATAAATTATGTTTAAAATAGTTTCATTCATTTTCGCTAATAGAATAAATGAAACTATTGGAACTTTGCTAATAACTGAAAAGACAAATTTAACAAAAATATAAAAATAATGTTTTAACTTACTCTGGGAAATGTATGTATGAAACACAAATAAAAAATACAAACTGATACATTCATATTTTTCTATTAAACTAAACAATATTACTATAAATATTTGTTAGACTTTACAAAATTTAAGCATTAACCGAGAAAGTCTGCGTAACTTTAAAACCATGATTAAAAAACAGGGTGAAAGTATTTCTCAATCTAAAAAAAGAAATGATGGACACAAGTTTGCTTGGATAAGATGCGTCATGAATAACTGTTTTTTTGTTTGCTTTTACTTGATGGCCCATTGAAAATGAGCTTGTATACTTTTCATTAATACTTACTTTTATCATGCAACTTTGATAATGCTACTGGTAAATTTGTTTCCCATACTGCTGGCAATAGTAATTCATGATATATACCACATAAAGGATTGTATCAAAATGAGCTGTAATGCAATCTGAGTATCTTCCAGCCATTTTTTTTTTTTTATTTATTCATTCAGCATTTAGATTGAGATTGAGAACAAGCAGTTCACCATCACCAGGCTTTTTTTTTTTTTAAATTTTAAAACTTTAAAGTCTATATTGTTGTAACACTATTACTGGTATTATGAATACTGAATGCATTTCTGGTACTGCTAACATTGGAGAGATTACTCAAGAAATACAGTACAATGTTCACCATGAATATACAGCACTGACAATAAATTGAAGACTGGTATAGGAAGGATTTTAGGCCTTGTCATCAGCATTAGGTGGCTTATGTAGAAGATCATTATCAATTGCTGTTTTCAATCCTATAAAGAAGTCTATCATAGTGTTCGGTAGAGCTGTTTCCACCAAGGTACGTGGTAACATGCCGCACAAGTCAGATTGTAGGAAAGTGACGACCTTTGTTTTCATAGCATCCCTGATGAAGAAAAAAATTAGATGTATATTTATTACAGAATTAACAATAATATTCCAGATTTTATGTCCCACAATCAGGAATATGCATATTTGAGACAAGATGAAAAGATTTTTAAAGGTATATAAAACAAAGCATGTATCTTAATTTGCATTTTAACATGTTACAATTTAAAAAAATGATTTGTTGCACAACTGATAGCTCATTTTTGAATATTAAATTAAAATACACTGTTGAAAAGTAGAATTTTTGTCTAAGGAAAACTTTCAAAACTAAATTGTTCATAATATAAAGCTAAGGATGAATAGGCATTCACAAGAGCTAATCCTTAAACATCTTTTCTTGCAGAATCTGTGTCAAACTTCAGCTTATGACCCGAACCTTATGTTGTCTACTAAATCCATTATGTATATCTTCTTAACCCTATGAACTTTTCACTTCTTGAACATGGAAGTCTTAAGGAAGCTTGGTGCAGTTAGAAAATTTACCAATTTATGTCATAGCTTAATTATGGACAATTTTCCAGAACTAAACTTTCATTGCTTTTTTAATTACAGTTTGATAAACCTATTAGGTTCAGTTCTGAAAAATACTTTCATGAAGACAATTATTTCATTTCTTCTCTCCATATATGTAGTGTTATTCAGAATGAGTCGTAATGTGATGAAATTGCTAAGACTCTGGTGTGGCTTTATAGTTTGAAATCAAGGTTGTTTTTTCAGAGATATAATTACTATGGATTGTTTAAGAAAGTTCCCATATCTAATTTTTCACTACCATCCCTAGCCTTTTTACAGAGTGATCCCTCTTAAGTCTGCCCTTTGGGCATTATACTCTGTATGTATGTATGTATGTATGTAAAGGACAAAAATATTCAATTCAAAGTGGCACGATTCCATCATTGTTTTTTATTGCTTGCTTCACTTGATCTGATTTGTCTATTCACAAATCGGAAGTAGGGAAACATTATATTATACCCAGCTTGATCAGAAGGTCCATTACTATCAATAGCCTTAGGATTTATACAGATTACTAGTAAATCCATCTTGGAATGTGAGTTTCTCAAAGGATAATAGCATCCTGTTTAATTGACCAACATTTATCAAATATAAAATGTTTAATGTAAGTGACTCCACCTGCTTTATTACAATTTTTTTTTTTGCATTGGTGAAAATTAAAATAACTTAGTTGAACTGAAATGTATTCTTCTCGATCACAATTTTGAGATGTGATAAAACATCAATACATGAACAAAGTTGTAAAAGTTACAGAAGTGACAAAATGACTATATTAAAATTGTGTGTATTTTTTTTTATTTTATATATTTTTATTTCACTATTTTGTCCAAAATTAAAAGAAATAAATTGTATATAAATACATAAGCTTAAATTCCTAACATAGGTCAAAATGAATCTTCTACAGATAGTATATTCACCATTAAGTTTCTCAAGAAACTTTGCTCTATATTCTACCAAAAGCACTTAATTCTCTGGGGTCTCTTTGGCATTACTTGGTGTCATTGACACCCATGTCTGACTGACAGCCAATTTAAATATTTTAAACCATAGCTATTTCAGCTATTTTGAAACTGTGGATTGATGATACCCAACCCTCAAGTAGAAAACCAGACACATATATCAATGAGTAAGTGTACTTGATATGTCTGGCAATTATAAGATTATGCCAATTAGGCAACATAGTGAAGCCACATGTGTTAGCTTGTATAACTTTAACAGCCAAGAGTACATTTAACTTCAACACTAACAAGTTAATATTTTAACAGCTTTTAATTGGGATTAGGGTTATACAAACTGGGGCAAGGTACATTGCTAAACTAATTTAATGGCTTTCTAATTTGATGATTTATTTTATGTTCAATATTGGTGGCAATTTATAAGGTATAATCACAAAGAGTTTAGCATTTACATAAATAAATCTGCATAAACTAATATCATATACATCAAATATTCTCTTTATTTACTTAGTTTGAACCAAATGCTAATAAACTACCTATATTTAACAAGATACACATTTTGAGAATTAATGCATGACACAAAGTTTCTTGAATTTTGTGAACTGGAGAAAAACACAAAACACATTCACAAAACTACAAATATGCTATAAAATCATGAAACCTAACCAGCAAAGTTAAACACAAAAACATACATACAGACATACAATGTACAGAAAGATTATACAATGTAACAACGAGTCACAAGGTATAGATATAGAGATAGATACCTACCCTGGTTCTGGAACACAGAATGTACCTCCTGGATGGTTGAACCCTCTGATACATTCATCTTTGGCAGCACAATCAGGGTGTTCTATACTGATAGAGTTAGTACATACTATACCATCATCATCTAAATGCTTCAATATCACCGCATCAACAAAGTCACGGGACGAAATAAGTCCCATAGCTGAACTATGCGTCTGAGATCGTACAATGAAGAAATCCTACAAAAAATATTCATAACATAAAAAATATGATAATCTGAAGTAGAAAAAGCATCGAAAATGATTTCTGAATATTAAAATTAACTAGAATCTTATCTTAATCTAGCTGTGATAGGATAAGTAAATATGTGACTTTATAGAAATTCAATTGAAACAAATGGTCACAATTTCCCATTGGCTACAGGTCCTGATTATGTAAATTTATTTTGTGAAAGCTGATAATTAAAAGTTGATTGACTTTGGCTATCAAAGGATTAAAAAGGATTAAAAAGGCTGGCAAAAAAACACAATATATTTAAGCTTGAAATAAAAGTCTCTTAGTATGGATGTTTTGAAATAGGGAAACATGCGGTATTTAAAAAATACATTTATACTGAAAAGGTCATCCAGTAGCAAAATAGGTTGATATCAACACCACTGATTCCAGGATAAGCAAAATAGTTTTGCAAGATACGCACAGCAAAATGTAAAAATAAAGTTGCAGACCACATGTAGTCAATTTCCCATTCTAAATATATTCTGTTTTATCCATATGGTTACATTCTAAATTGTAACTGTATGAATCTTGGCCTCAGAAAGAAAGAAATTTTAAACTAGTAGTGAAAGTTGAAAGATCATTGAAAGTAAGCTTGGTTCAAACTATTGTGAGACTGAAGCCAGGGTTATTTTTCCCCACTGATAGGCCATAAGAGATCACAGCTGCGAATTTCAAAGAAGTGATAAATTGTTTGATTGTTTCAGTCTGAGTGAATTATTTCTTCCTGTTGGATGGCAGTCCGGAACAGGGAATAGTTTTTCAATTCATTGACCTTTGATAGCAGGTGGTTATTTTGTGCCAAAAACACCAATAATCCACATTTTAACATATCAACAGTTTTTCAGGTATGCTTGAGTCGATTTCATTCAAACTTGGCATTGACATAATTTATGGTGGGTTACTGATGAATGTCATTTTGTTTTGCAATTTTATTCAAAGTGGCTGACTGATGATAATTTTTTTTTTCACAAGTTTCCTTTATGTTTTCAGATAGTCTTTCACTAATTTTTTCAAAGCTAATACAAAGATCAGATATAGTGGTATACATATGCTCATCAATTTGTTTTTATTTCATCATTTTTTGCAGTTATTTTTGTAAAAAAAATCTGAAATTTCAACATTTCATCAACCATTTTTCCAGCATGATTTTGAATGATTTTAATGACCTCATTTGGTTTTGTGATTTGATACAAAAAGGCCAACTGCTGGTCATGTTGATTTTTTTATGTGTCCTTAGCTATCACTTGGTTGGTACAAAGACAAGAAGAATCAATCATATACACATACACTTGAAATCACTTGCAGTCATTTTTTATGTGTCCTTAGCTATCACTTGGTTGGTACAAAGACAAGAATCAATCATATACACATACACTTGAAATCACTTGCAGTCATTTTTTTTATGTGTCCTTAGCTATCACTTGGTTGGTACAAAGACAAGAATCAATCATATACACATACACTTGAAATCACTTGCAGTCATTTTTTTATGTGTCCTTAGCTATCACTTGGTTGGTACAAAGACAAGAATCAATCATATACACATACACTTGAAATCACTTGCAGTCATTTTTTTATGTGTCCTTAGCTATCACTTGGTTGGTACAAAGACAAGAATCAATCATATACACATGCACTTGGAATCACTTGCAGTCATTTTTTTATGTGTCCTTAGCTATCACTTGGTTGGTACAAAGACAAGAATCAATCATATACACATACACTTGAAATCACTTGCAGTCATTTTTTTATGTGTCCTTAGCTATCACTTGGTTGGTACAAAGACAAGAATCAATCATATACACATACACTTGAAATCACTTGCAGTCATTTTTTTTATGTGTCCTTAGCTATCACTTGGTTGGTACAAAGACAAGAATCAATCATATACACAAGCACTTGAAATCACTTGCAGTCATTTTTTTGCAATTTCATTCAAACTTTGTATTGACATCACTCATCGTAGGTTAATTTTCTTTTTTTACTAATACGTGTCATTTTGATCAAAATGGTCAACTGGCAGGTATATTGATTTATATTTTCAAGTCTTTTTAGCAATTTTTGGGGGATTGATGAACTTTTGTCAAGCAGAAATACTATATTTTATTATACCAGCTTCAGTTGATTCAGTTCAAACATGTTGATTATTTATGGTAGGCATCCAGGTTACAAAGTGTTTGTAGAATATAAAAAACATGTTTTTCATTCACTTCATTTTTCAACACAATCAAGCTGGACAGTATATAATTTATAACATTTGGATATCCATACATACATTTGTAGGATATCTCTGAGTGAAACGTTTTTGTATTCAACTTGTGAAAAACTGAGGCTCTCAAATGACTCTCTATAAGATAAAGAAACCATTTACAACTTCTTCCATATTTTATAAAAATTTTAATTTTGAAATTATGTCCATCTGAGCCAAAAATTACAAAGAAAGTATGAAAAGAATACATAAAAATGTGCAAAATATTGCATCAACATTTTGGTCAGAAAAATGGTACTATATGTTTTTTGGAAACTATTTTTTGTGCAATCATTTGGAAATTTGGCAAAACCTAAATATAATTTCTCACAATTAATGTATATTATGTATATTATACATGTATATATTAATGTATATATATATTGTAAAATACTTTATTTTCGCTTGGAAATAAAAAAAAAAATATTTTAGCTGAAGTAATGACTCAGTGAAAATAAAGTCCAGCGAATATACCTTTTTTCCTATATTTTGCATTCAACTCATCAAAAAATCAGTGAAAACAAATTCCATACAAAAAGTCTTTTCAGCGAAAATTAATTCCAGCTAAAATAAAATATTTTACAGTACCTACTACTACTTGGAATGCATCTCTGAATCCTCAAAACATAAAAATGTAATGGTTTTAATTTTAATACTTCACAGTCGTAATATCCTAAGTTAATTTATTGGTATACTTGAATGTTTTAAGAGTGGAAATAAAAGTGGTTGTCACCTGGCATCTGCAACTTTCTCACTAAAATTCTAGAATTTTATTTTTCATTAGCTTAATAATTCATTTCTGTAATGTTCATTATTTATTCCTTGTCAATTTGTGGATGAGAATTATGGTGAAAAGTCACTGGCTCAGAACTTATAGCAACAAACATAATCAAATATGAAAAACTTATGTCACAATTAATACTTGGGTACAAGTAATAACCGGAATGTATTTTACTTGTATATATTGACTTTAAAAATCAATAAATACACAACAACAACAACTAAATGTGTTTACATATAATTATGAAGACATAAATGTTTGTTTGTGCTAATTAAAATTTCAGGAAAAGCCACAATTATATAAAAAGCAATTAATATAGGGTAAATCTATGGATGTAACGTTTAAAACAGCAAAACCAGGAGTAGTACAATCCCCTACTTCAACCCTCATACATGTTATATCCTATAAACTAGATTTTTTACTACCTTGGTAAGAAATTTAATGCAGACGTCAGATATTTTTTTTTTATGAATGCAATTAATCATGATTATACAAATTTGCAATTTATTACAATATAATGAGTAATCTAAATTCCAGCAGTTATGTAAATACTGGTAGTGACTCATAGTCAGTTTATTCAGATATTTACACAAAGACTAATCTGAGCTTCAAAGGAAACAGCATCTGATTGAGAGACATGACTTGCATAACTAATGAAAATTAATTTCTTTTTCAAATATTATATGTACAAACAATAAAAAAATTATCTTAATTCCTGTATGGGTAGCAATAAACTGAAATTTTCAGACAGAAGCTGGTTCAGACACAGAATCAGAGACTCAATCAAGAACAACTTATTTCAACATGATTTGGTGTTAATGATAATTGTGGTCTCTAAAAATACATGGTGGTCCATCTAAAAGTTGTAATAAATAAATAAACGCTGCTCGGACTGATAAGTATGATATATTGAAGATAATATTTGGTAATCATAGTCCTAAATAACTATTAAAAATAGCTAGACGTTTCGTTTTTAAAATTTTCTTGATGTACTCCTCATGAGTATAAAGACACATCTGAGGAAATGAAAGATGCAGATGTTCTATTATTCCCATGTGTCCTTAATCAAATCAAATGAAACAAGGACATGTCATTCAATCATTTCTAAAACTGTCAGGGGAGATAAATCTCAAGGAAAAGGTTTAACTAGTTTGTTATAAGTAGTCTGACCGAAATTTCTCTGTCATCTGAAAATTTATAAGCTAGTATAGTGTTTTTATATGCATAAAACTTATATTGGTTTTTACTTGATGTACAAATTCAATTTTTTTTTAGTTTTACTTCTTTTAATGCAAATGCTACCAAATTCTTATTCATAATGCAATTGGTCTCCCAGACAACATCATAAAGGAATGTCAACCAGTCAAAACCTGTGCCCACTCATTCCTAATTTCACACAACATGACATGCATTACAATCTAATTTCCTTGATAAATTTTTTCATAATCAGATTTGTTTTTTATATATTTTCCCAACATTCTGCATTAAATGTCTTATATCTTGTATACATGAATGTCAGTCAACTTTGTCACTTTTCGCATAATTTTTTTTTTTTTTATTTT